CAACCACCGATAACATTAGCGATGCCACATCACAATCAATGGTGTGTCATAGCTAAGAAATTAAATCCGGGAGTCCCGCCCTCTGAGCGAAGCGAGGATCTGTCTTGCCGGGTGCTAAGCACCCTAGGGGGAGGGGGAGCGCGAAAAACACAATTTTATTTTCATGCAGGTTGCTAAAATTTGGTTCGCGCGCATGCCGTTTCTATAAATTTTTCATCTGTTGCCCATCCAGAATAGGCCGTCAACAAGACGGGTAGACGGGTCCCTGGCTACACGACTGTGATCACAATAGAAAGCAAGTGTATCCTGTTGAGGAATAAGCAGAATATCCCTTTGTAATGCTCTGATAAGATATAACGTCTCTTGGCAACCTAAGTCTAACGACTTAGTGATAACTCTACTTCCTACTCTACTCTCGAACTCCTAGTGATAACTCTAACCTACAAAACAAATATTACTATACGGCAACAAATAAAAAAGATGAACATAAATAGTATTAAAACAACTTCAGCGAAAAACTGGCACAATGACTTTCGATGCGCAATGAGACAATGGAGTTGATTTCACAGTAGTTAAGAGCATGGACTCACAAAGAAAATCTGCTCGTGAGTGTTTAAATGTAGCCAAACTGATGGTATGCATGCCACATATATACCACATTGATATTTAACCATGTGACATATATTATAAAATCATCTCTCAGCAACTCAAATCACAATGCAGGGCCCGTAGCTGCGGGGGGGGGGGCGAGGTGAAGGGGGCAAGCTGCCCTAAGATTTTGGAGCAAAATTAAAACAACAATTGTTCTAGCAATGAGAAGTTGTCTGTTGTCAGAAATTGAAGGCTCACCCTGCTATAATGTACTCAAAAGTGCCTTCAACATCCCGTCTCCTGCCCCGATCTACATTTTCAAAATTTTTGTGTTGGTAGACTCCCCACCCTGTTTGTCACCCTCCTTGAAATCCTTGGGACTTCAGGCGAACTCTCTCCTGCTCTTGCACCACCACCCCTAAGAATTTGCTCAGCCTACGGCCTCTGCAACCGAAATCCTCTATCGTTGTAGTATGAAGTAACCTGTGTGTGTGTTGCGTGTGTGTGTGCGTGTGTGTTGTGCGTGCACTGTGTGCATGCATGCGTGCTCCCACTCTGCGCCACAAATCCTAATTCCTACCATGTAAAAGCACCCTCCCTTCTCAGCTCAAACTCTTTCAATGTTTACACATTGCAATTAAAACTCCCCCAACACTCCAGCTAAAGACGCTCTCTGGTATATACAAAATAAATGGAAGTTAACACATCTTTTTTCTCCCGCTGCAGATTTTAGAATTTGGCCCTGAGTGTTCTAATAGCTCATAGATTCAATACACTAGTCATGTATTTATATTCAAGGAAATCAGTTCATCACCATTGTCATAGTAAGATATCACTCCAGATGAGGAGGGCTATGCCCCCCAGGGCTCTTCCGCCGGGAACGTACCACTAGGGTACGCCGGTCCGGCCTTCATAGCCAGACACAGATACCTCTGGAGCTAACCAGATTCATATAAGATTAACAGCTGGATTTCTTGTCTGCTCCGGTTATCCGTATCTAATATGCCAGACTCGTAATCTTCCATCACAATCCACTAACGAGCTGTTAGGAGTCGCCTTACGCCTACTCCCTAACCATTATCGATTGTTACCAGTGCGGTACGTTCCGGTATACCGGGACCGTAACCCAGGGTACGTTCCGGCGAGTACCCTGGGGCCGAACATTAGGACCCGGCCTCTATTTCTGTTAGCCCTATCAACTTTACCCCATAGAGACACGTCCTGCCCCACCTGCAGGAATCGCAATTGTAGTTACGCTACGACGTGGTGTAAATGTTGTAATACTAATAGGCCTTAGGGTAGGACATGTGCGAAACGCCTCTTCAAACTCTCGCGCCAAACGATCTGCGCCCCTGACTCCTTGGGTGTGAAGCAACAAGACGGACCCATCACGGGCTGCCCGAGTAGCTGTGCCGCGAGGGCGTGTGCTGCGTGGTATGGCGGTCATCGCTAGTGACAGTAGTGCTATTCGGTAACGGAACCACATCCCGTGACTGGAATTGTCCCTCCCCAAAGCCGTATCAAGATGAAGTATTAAAATTACTGTATTGCTGTGGCAAAAATCCATCACTCAGGTTGATACTTAAACAATACACAGAAAAACCCTCCACAGCCAACATAGAACATACAAGCTTCACTGAATTTGTTAGCTCACTGACTTTGCCTCGCTGGGTTGTGCCTGCGGATCCGAACGGACAGAGCCTAACTGAAATTGAATGACGACTGAACAAGAGTTTCGTACTCCGTAGGACGCTGTGACGGTTGTGTTTCCTCGGTTGGAGGCCTAACGAACCTTAGCATGAGGACTTGATGAATCAACGCAATAATTTAAATTGGATACAGAACTATAAGCCCAGTGTGTTGTGTTTTAATAACTGACAAGCGGCATGACAACAAACAAGAAACACAACCACACGACGCCAAAGTCGAAGCAGTCCACGTAACTCGTGTACAGTACCATAGCCTTCTTTGCTTCTGAGCTATGTTCTGAGATACAGTGCTCGCAAACAAATGAGCATGTTTAATAATCTAGCGCTGATTCGGTGATTGTATAAATGATATACATGTGTTATTAACCTTGTTTGGGATAAAATCACAGTAGTTTATTTATATATATTATAAATCGGGATATGAGCAGAACTTCTGTATTTTTACCATTGTAGTAATAAATGTATAATATACTTTTACATGTGAGATGAATAGTCAGCAAACTTCCCTTAAAAAAATGGCGGCGACTGGTGACGATGTAAAAGTGCATCGGTTTCATAAAAGAATATAAATTTAAGTGAAACCGTAATTGGAACATACACGTCAAAATGTCGAGACACAGACAAGTCCGTGGGATGGACTTTGGCGAAGGTAGTGATTTCCAGAAAAGCGTGAAGTTTAAATCTCGACTTGTTACTCTGCTTCATAAATAAGATAAAAGTCTAAGTCTGACTCTAGACCGAATATTCGGAATAATTCTGTCCCATATAACCTTTTTTTTATATTTTGGTGAGGGTTATATTGGGACAGAACGGGGTTCATTGAAATTTCGTGAGATCGTATGCAAAATGCATGCGCTGAGAATGTAGATATGTGTAAAAGACGGATTCATTCAATCGTGAGCACGTGATACTGTAAAAAGATTGATTTACAAGACACGCTCCGCTTCATTAAAACTTACGTAGAATAACATTCGCCGAGATTGTACATAATCGCAATCAGACTAGATCAGAGCGAGTCTGATCTGCCCTACCTGCAGCGCACAGATACAGCGAGCAAGGGCTCCTTGCAAAGCGAGAACCAGGCTATTGTATACACTTGACTGCTTCTGATTGTTCTGATTGTAAAATGGCGAATGTTATTTACGAAGTAATATGTAAGCTGGAGTGTCTGAAAAACAGAATACTTTTTCAAGAAAGTGAGGATACGTATGAGTGAGATCTAGAGGTCACTACATATCTCTGTTGGAATTGAGCGAGGTAAAGCCATCGTAGAAGAATCCGGTTAGGGGAGAGTTCTGTTTTCCGAGCCGCCAGATAGCGCCGCTACAGGGCCGGCATTGCAGCGCATGACATTTGCAGCGACGATCACGAAATGTTCAAATGGAAAACCGGTTCTGTCCCAATATGACACCCCACCAAAATATAAAAATAAAGGTTATACTGGACCGTTAATTACTTCGTCTACTATTC